GAGTTGGGGAGTGGGATTTAAATATACTTTGTTTCTTTGCCCTGAAAAAAATATTTTAATAACGTTTACTAAAATGCCTGGTTTGCAAGATCAGTGTGGCTGTATGTTTTTGTAAAGTAAGAGTGAAAGCAGGACATAATGGGTCCTGGTGTTTGGCAGGCATACAAGGCTGGTGTAAAACAATGTAGTGTTTCAGAACACTTCGGTCTTGTGATAGAAGCAAGTTGTATACCATGAAAGTAGGCATGTATTGTGAAAGTGGGTGTGTTTTTACACACATACAACTGCTTTGATGTAGTCAGAGATTGCAGGTGTGCCACAGGAGATGGTCATGGAATGGAGACATGTTTTAGGAGACAATGAATGACTGCTAACATTCTAATGCTGGGCACACACTTTACAACCATCACAAGATTTTGTCTTGCGATGGTTGTAAGGTAATTAAAAAAACGTACGATCTGCCTATTTTGGACAGGCAGATCGTACTTGCGATGATCGCAAGCCCGCCCCGCTGAGGGGCGGGCTTCCAATGACCGCAATGCTGAACGGGCGGTGTGCGCTTGCGCACATCGGCCCCGTGCAGCATTTATCTTACGAACATGCCACACACCCGCCGACAATCGTACGATTCTTGGCGGGTTTTCGAACATGTTAAAGTCGTGCGACCTTACAGCAGCAGAGGTCGCACGCCTTCCACACACCTTGCGATAATCGGACGATCGCGGGATTTCCCACGATTATCGTACGATTATCGCAAGGTGTGTGGGCACCCTAAAGGAGACAGACATGGACTACAGTCAGGAAACAGCCTGGGTCTTCACATCTGCTATGTGAGACAGTCATGGACTTTAGACATACTACATAAGTCAGTAAGGGACTGCATACTTGATATAGGAGAAATCCAGGTACTGTAGACACGCTACAGGAAACAGTCAAGGACTGTGAACTTGCTACAGGAGACAGGGACTATGGGCATGCTACATGAGTAAAATGAAGGCTGGCAATCATGCTTCAGGAGGGGATTAGGGAACATATATATATAGATCTATATAGATATGTAGATCTATATAGATTTTTTCAACATTTCTCATCCCAATCTTTATTTTTCCCTATCTTAAGCTCCAACTCAATGT